ATAAAAAAAAAAAAATAAGAGGGGGGGCTCAACCATTTCTCCAAGACAAGAAACTAATCAAGGAGAGAAGCAACCTAGAACCAAGGAGAAACTTCCTAACAGTGAGGATAATTAACCAGTGGAACAGCTTGCCTACAGAAGTTGTGGGTGCTCCATCACTGGATGTTTTTAAGAAGAGATTGGACAGCCACTTGTCTGAAATGGTATAGGAATAATATAATAGAATGGAATGTAATATGGAATAGAATATAATAAAATATGGAATGGAATGGAATAAGGAATGCGGAATAGAATAGAATAGAATAGAATAGAATAGAATAGAATAGAATAGAATAGAATAGCAGAGTTGGAAGGGACCTTGAAGGTCTTCTAGTCCAGCCCCCTGCTCAAGCAGGAGAACCTATACCATTTCAGACATTTCAGTAGGGTCTCCTGCTTGAGCAGGGGGTTGGACTAGAAGACCTCCAAGGTCCCTTCCAGCCGTATTCCGATCAAGCCTTGATGTGGACGGATTTGAGGGCAGGGAGAAGGCAGGGAGGAGAGCTGGGGGAGGGGGGTTGCGTGGGCCTGGCGCACACACACACACACACACACACACAAACACACCGAGGCACACCGCCCAAGTCTTCTTTCAGCCACTAGAGGGCGCTGCTCCCACGCGACTGTGCCCCAGGGCCTTTGTGTGCTGGTGCAGCTGAGCTACTTGGACCATTTTGCCTCCATCTGCAACCAGCGGCAGCCGCCCCCCGAGCATCTCCCCTTTGGTTACTCCTCTTTCTGCACCAGACCTGGGGGGCAAACAGGTCGGATGGATGGCGACCCGCTACTTCCTCGGAGGAACCATGAAGCAGATTTGCTTCTGCGCCGCCTCCCCCTTCGTGGTATGTTCTGCACCTCTGTTGTCTTCCTTCCTTCCTTCTTTCCTTCCTTCCTTCCTTCCCTCCCTCCCTCCCTGCTTCTTTTCCTTCTGATAGCCTGCCCCCCACCCACACACACAGCCCGTCTCTGCTGCCTTTGCACCAACCTCATTCCCCATCTCGCCAGCCAGGTCCTTGTGAGTGTGCGCCTGTGTTTGTGTGTGTGTGTACGTGTGCTGCTTTCCAAGCAGCTGAACTAGATTTTTCTCTATTGCGAGGAACCGAGGCTAGGGGAAGGGGGGGCTGTTAAGCAGGAGAGGAGGGCCGTTGGCACTCTGTGCATGCACAGAGGGCGGCGAAGCCCGTACCCATCATCCACTCACCTCTCCTGGCGCTCTAGAAGGGTTCCAGCTGTGCTGTGAAGAATGAGCTTTAAAACTGCTGAGGAGTATTTTGCAACGGCTGTAACTCATGCATAGCCTTCCTCCTTCACGAGGGATGATGAAGAGGAAGATGATGATGATGATGAAGAAGAATATCACCTTCATCCGGAGGTTTCAAGAGAACTCTCGTGTTTTCTATTTAGCATGATATCCCTGTCAAAGGATGTCTGTCTGTTTCCCTTGTGCTTTTAAGGACATCTGTCCGTTTTCATGCTGTGAAGGATGCCTGTCTGTTTGCCTGATTCCCTCCCTCCCACTGTTATCATCACAACGACCCAGTGAGGTAGGCTTGGCTCAGAGACGACGTGTTAATGGAATAACGGAAGGGACCTTGGAGGTCTTCTAGTCCAACCCGCTGCTCAGGCAGGAGACCCTATACCATTCTAGACACAGAACAGAATCACAGAGTTGAAAGTTTGGCTGCTTTAAAAAAATGGAAGAAGGATTGGCAGGAATTAAAAAAAAAGGATGTAAAAGAAGAATAGAATAGAATAGAATAGAATAGAATAGAATAGAATAGAATAGAATAGAATAGAATAGAATAGATATTGGAATAGAACAGAATAGATATTGGAATAGATAATAGAATAGAATAGAATAGAATAGATATTGGAATAGAACAGAATAGATATTGGAATAGATAATAGAATAGAATAGAATAGAATAGAATAGAATAGAATAGAATAGAATAGAATAGATATTGGAATAGAACAGAATAGATATTGGAATAGATAATAGAATAGAATAGAATGGAATAGAATAGAATAGAATAGAATAGAATAGAATAGAATAGAATAGAATAGAATAGAATAGAATAGATATTGGAATAGAACAGAATAGATATTGGAATAGAGAATAGAATAGAATAGAATAGAATAGAATAGAATAGAATAGAATAGAATAGAATAGAAGCTGGAAGGGACCTTGGAGGTCTTCTAGTCCAGCCCCCTGCTCAAGCAGGAGGCCCTATCCCATTTCAGACAAGCGGCTGTCCAATCTTTTCTTGGAAACCTCCAGTGTTGGAGCACCCACAGCTTCTGGAGGCAGGTAGTTCCGCTGGTTAATTGTTCTAACCATCAGGAGAGGTCAAGGTCACTTCACCAGCCAACATCAACCCTCTAGACTGAGTTTCCATCCCGGTTTAAAACCCTTGCAACACTTAAAATTGAATTTCGGCTTTTCTTGGGATGTTCTCAACCTGCCCGGTCCGATTCGCCACCCTGTCCCCTCTTTCTAAGAATATTTGCTCCACATTTCTCGGAGTTAAAGTCCCCCCCTCTCCCTTTTCTTGCTTCTTGTCAATGCAGTCCAGAACGCTTTAATGTCGGTAAGACTCTGTGTGTGTGTGTGTGTGTCTCTCTCTCTCTGCCTTTTTCATGTCTCTTCCCCGTTTCCACTTGCAGCCTTGCGAGGTAGGTCAGGCCGAAGGAAAGGGGTGCGTTGCATCTTCTGAGCGAATGCCAGAAGAGGATTCTAAAACAGCCAAGCCGCCCCCGGCTGTGGGAAGGTTGAATGCAGGAAGAGTGGAATTTTCCGACTGGTGGAAAAAAACCCCGTGCGGTGGCTGGATTTGCAAAAGCCGCTGGAGTGGAAACAATTTCTCCTTCAGCCTGATCTTGACTCCTCGACCTCCAGAAGACACCAATGCAGCATTTGGGCAGCTTTGCAGAAGTTTTTTTTTCCAGGAGGCAACTGGACTTTCTCGTTTGTTCTTTGGATGTTCTTCTTGTTTCGCTTCTCCTCCCAGAAGCTTCTTCAGCTCGGACTGGATGGTGGAGAAGGGAAGGATTTATACCAGTGGTGGCGAACCTATGGCACGGGTGCCAGAGGCGGCACTCGGAGCCCTTTCTGTGGGCACACACACACCGTCGCCCAGCCCCGCCTCCTCCCACGGCCCCGTCCACACCAGCAGCCCCCCCGGAGGAGAGTCACCCCCGGGCATGGCCCACGCGAAGCAGCGCAGCCAAGGATATGGTAGTCGGGCAGCGGGGACAAGACTCCGCCCTTGCGCCACGCACATCACACGCAGATGATGCTGCGGGGCACGGGCAGAGGGCGTGGCCGCCATGGCGCTGCTGGGCTGCCTGGGTTATCTGCGGTGGGCCGTGAAAGTGGCAGGTGGCCCAGCGGGCACGGTGGAGCGAGGGCAGGGGTGGAGTGGGGCGGGTTTTGGGTACTCGGTCTCTAAAAGGTTCGCCATCACTGATTTATACAATGCAGTGAGCCTTGTGCAGATCTGTACACTGGGGAAACAAAACAACCGCTTCACAAATGTAGGACAGTGATGGCGAACCTTTGAGAGACCGAGTGCCCAAAAACTGTCCCCGCCCCCGCTCTGCCCCGCCTCCACCCCGCCTGCCCGCAGGGTCACTCACTGCCTCCAGGGCCCGCCGCAGATCGCCCAGGCAGCCCAGCAGCACCATGGCGGCCACGCCCTCTGCCCGCGCCCCGCAGCATCAACTGTGCGCAATGGGGCATGAGGGCAGAGTCTTGTCTACGCTGCCCTGCTACCATGTCCTTGGCTGTGCTGCTCCACGTGGGCCACGGTCTGGGGTGACTCTCCTCCAGGGGGACTGGTGGTGAGGAGGGGGTCATGGGAAGAGGCAAGACTGGGGCAACGGCACGTGTGCCCACAGAGAGGGTGCTGAGTGCCGCCTCTGGTACCCGTGTTATAGGTTCGCCGCCACCGACACAGGAGAACAAACCCATCCGGACGAGATTCAGAGGTCCATCTGCAATTGAAAGACGAAGGCTGATCTTTCGAAGTCAGCAGAGTCCACATTTTGGACGGAGAGAACCGTTGGTTTGAAAGAGGGGTCCAAAAGGCCATCTAGGTCAAAACTGAACAGCCCTCCCTCAACAGAGGGGGAGGGATAGGACATCATCTATCTCCAGTCTACAACACGGTCCTTTCAGCAGATCCAAGAAGGCTCCACACTCATTTGCACCACTCAGGTGACCCTGAGCAGGGCTTTTCAACCAGTGGTACGGGTACCACCTGTGGTACATTGGCACCTGGCAGGGGGTACGCGAACATCCTAGAAAAGTAGCGGGGGAGGGGAATGAGCTGAACCGGTGGCAGCACCGCACAACCCTGAGCGAGAGACGGCTGGAGCTGCAGGGCTGTCAGGGCTCAGCAGAAGCGCCAGGATCAGTGCCGCTTTCCAGCTGATTGGTGCTTCTTCAGGGCTCAGCAGAAGCACCAGGATCAGCGCTGAGCTCCAGCTGGAGCCTGGTGCTGATCCTGGCGCTTCCACTGAGCCCTGGCAGCCCCGAAGCGCCGATCAGCTGGAAAGCGGCACTGATCCTGGTGCTTCCGCTGAGCCCTGACAGCCCTGCAGCCCCAGCCATCTCTCGCTCAGGCTTGTGCGGTGCTGCCACCGGTTCAGCTCATTCCCCTCCCCCACTACCACTTTTCTAGGATGGTCGCGTACCACCTGCCAGGTGCCAATGTACCACAGGTGGTACCCGTACCACAGGTTGAAAAGCCCTGGTTTAGACTAGCCAGACCCAAGTCCCGCGGCCGTTTTTTGTATCTTTTAGCCTCCAGGCCTTTGATCCCCCAAGGTCCCTTCCACCACCACCATCATCATCATCATCATCATCATCATCATCATCATCATCATTATTATTATTATTATTATTATTATTATTATTATTATTATTATTATCCTCTTAGCTGCTCTTCTCTGAATTCTTTTTTCCAAACTCTCAACATCTTTTTTTGCGATAGGGTGACCAAAAAGATGTTGAGAGCTTGGAAAAAAAAAATCAGCGTATCTGAACATACGTGTCAAATATATTCTTTCTAGGAGTCTCCTTGGCAGAGGCTGTTTCCTGAGATAAATAATAATAATAATAATAATAATAATAATAATAATAATAATAATAATAATAATAATAATAATAATAATAATAATAATAATAATAATAATAAAGTTGGAAGGGACCTTGGAGGTCATCTAGTCCAACCCCCTGCTCAGGCAGAAAACCTTGCACCATTTCGGACAAATGGCTGTCCAGTCTCTTCTTAAAAACTTCCAGTGTTGGAGCATTCACCGCTTCTGGAGGCAGGTTGTTCCACTGGTTAATTGTTCTAACTGTCAGGAAGTTTCTCCTTAGTTCTAGGTTGCTTCTCTCCTTGATTAGTTTCCATCCGTTGCTTCTCATCCTGCCTTCAGGCGCTTTGGAGAACAGCTTGACTCCCTCTTCTTTGGGGCAGCCCCTGAGATACTGGAAGACTGCTATCATGTCCCCCCTCGTCCTTCTCTTCGTTAAACTAGACATACCCAATTCCAGCAACCGTTCCTCATATGTTTTAGCCTCCAGTCCTCCAGTTGCTTGTCAGATGGAGAAGCTTCGTTGGGTCTTCCACGTTGGATGGGCTGGGAAGGAGAGGGAAGAAGTCATAGGCCTTGCCTGTCCCCAACTGGTGGTCCTGTTGGTTTTCAGAGCCAAGACTGGAACAAGAATGACGAGAAGCTGCTGCAGGCGGTGGAGATGAACGATGCGGACCGGGTCTCCTCTCTCCTGCTCCGGAAGAGCTTGGTGCCCACCAAGCTGGACATGGAGGGGAAATCAGCGTAAGCCTTTCCTCCCCTCCTCTTCTCCTTCCCCATCCCTTCCCCGTTCCCTTTCTTTCCCTTCCCTTCCTTCCCCTCCCCCATTTCCTTTCTTCTGTTTCTCCTCCCCCTTCCCTTTTGGAAACCTTCCCTTCCTTTTCTCATCCATTTAGTTCCTTTCCTTTCCCCTTTCTTCCCTCTTTCTCAGTTTTGCCTTTGTCACTTTTTTCCTTCCTCCATCTGTCCTTCCGTCAACTTCTTCCCTTCCCCATCCCATTTATTTGCTTTTCCTTCCTTCCTTCCTTCCTTCCTTCCTTCCTTCCTTCCTTCCTTCCTTCCTTCCTTCCTTCCTTCCTTCCTTCCTTCCTTCCTAATTCCTCCTTTTGTCTCCTCTCCTTTAATTTCCATAATCATCTCCCTTCTACCTTTCCTTTCCTTTCCTCTTTTTCAGTTTTTCACTCACTTTTTTCCTTCCTCCATCTGTCCCTCCCTCAACTTTCTCCCTTCCCTTTCTCATCTATTTACTTTTCCTTCCTTCCTTCCTTCCTTCCTTCCTTCCTTCCTTCCTTCCTTCCTTCCTTCCTTCCTTCCTTCTTTTATCTCCTCTCCTTTAATTTCCATAATCATCTCCCTTCTACCTTTCCTTTCCTCTTTCTCAGTTTTTCACTCACTTTTTTCCTTCCTCCATCTGTCCCTCCCTCAACTTTCTCCCTTCCCCTTTCCTTTCTCATCTATTTACTTTTCCTTCCTTCCTTCCTTCCTTCCTTCCTTCCTT